AAGAGGAAATGAATAGATGACAAGGAAATAAAACTTTGAATATAAATTCCTCAATGTCCAGGACTACTGGTTCCAGGAACCTCTTTAGACATACAAATCCACTGATGTTCAAGACCTTTATATAAAATGGTGTATTTGCAAATAACCTGCACACATTTGCCCATATACTTTAAGTCATTTCTAGATAATTTATAATATCTTATACAATGTAAGTACTATGTAAATAGTTGTTATACTATATTGCTTAAGGAATAATGACAAGAAAAAAAAAATGTTTGAGGCAGGCACAGTGACACATGACCAAAAGTCCCAGATACTTGGGAGGCTAAGGAGTTTTCAAGAGTTCAAGATTAGCTTGGACAACATAGCAAGACCCTGTTTCAAAAGGGGGAAAAGGAGGTGGAGGCGGAGGAAAAGGAGGAGGAGAAAAAAGTATGTACACATTTGATAAGGATATGATTCACACTTGGTCCAATCCACAGTTGATTAAATCTGCCAGTGCATAGCCTGCAGCTATGGAGGGCCAACTATAATCCATTAGCACATCTAGCCAACACAAAAGGGATCAAAATCACAGACAGTTTAAGTAAGAAAAAATGGGAAAAAAATAATGCATAGAAAATGAAATGCTTTATTCAACTCTATACTAATAAATTTGGCAAACTACTTTAGGTGAGTTGATTGGGTAGAAAAATAGCAACACTCCCCTTATTCCAGAAAAAAAAAATAGAAGAAAAATGTCTAAGAGGCAGAGTTTCACTATGCTGCCCAGACTGATCCTGAATTTGTGATACTCCTGCTTTAGCATACAGAGTAGCTGGGTTGGAGAGATTCATACCACCACTCCTAGTCAGGAAGAGATTTTTTTAATGTAATTTTTTTTCAAATAAACTATTAAATATTGAGAAAATTGTTAACGAGCCTTCCAAGCAATTTAACTACAAAAACTCAAAGTGGTGAGTTATTTTCAACAAGCTAGGGACCATTCTGATACAATTTAAACTAATCCATAAGCACAGAGAAAGAAACTCTCAGTTATAGAAATCAGGTTAACATAACTGATAACAAAATCTTACAATAACACAGAATATTTTTTAAAAGTAACCAAAACCCACATTAGTGAAGAGAACATGATGTAAATTCCTCGATAACACAAAGACTCCAATAGTGCATTAAAAGAATAGTATACAAAAGCAAATGGGAAAGTCACTACAGAAACCCAGGAATATTTCACTGTTCTTATCATTATGATTTTTATTGGGGTAATTCACCATATTGTTTGGTAAAAGGAATAAAAACATATTATCATGTCAACAAATACCCAAAAGGCACTTGATAAAATTCACCATCTATTTTTGGATTCTTCTTCTTTTTTAAATCTTTAGAAAAAGGATATATCTATGACATGCCAAAAAATACATATCTCAAATCAAAGTACTTTCTGGCATCTTTGCTTTTGATTTTTGACAACTAGAAACATTTATAGTTAAATGAAGACATGACTAGAATGCCAACTCCAACATTATTTTCTAACATTGTTCTGGAAAGGCCAAGACTGTTCTGAGCCATTGAGTCCAATTTCTTTTTTTTAAATATTTATTTTTTTAATTGTAGTTGGACACAATACCTTTATTCCATTCATTTATTTTTATGTAGTGCTGAGGATCGAACCCAGGGCCCCCGCACATGCTAGGTGAGCGCTCTGCCACTGAACCACAATCCCAGCCCCTACTGAGTTCAATTTCAAGGGCTCTCCCTTCCCAAGCATGCTGGGCCAAGGGGATGAGATAGTGAGATGGAGGATATGAGATCAGGTCTGGCACAAAGCTAAATCTGTTGGCAGAAAGATCAGAAGAGTACATTTATCTAACTGGTCTGAACAATTTGGGTGTCTTTAATTAATTGGTCCATTCATTCAGAGAATGTTCCTTTATCTAAAAGCAAGTGGGGAGGGGGCGGAAGACCACTGTTGGCAGTTCCTCAGCAGGCATAGTAGCCTATACTGTACTCAAAAAATGATTCGTATGAGCTCTGGGTAACACTGATTTAGTAAAGTTAGATGACAGGGTGAATCCAGTGGCAATAACTACAGGTAAAGGGGAATGAGTTATGATTATTTACACATTTAAAAAATTCTATACACAGAAAAAAACAACAAGCAAAAAACTATAAGAAACAGTAAAAGGTAAGGTGTAAGGCCAGTTATACAATTATTAGGTTAATAAGAACAATGGCTTTCCTAAAAACAGATTACTGAGAAATCATAGTTCACTTTGACAATTGCACCATGAGAATACATTTAAGGATAAATGTAATGGGTTATATGTAAGACCTATATGTGGAAAACTATCACAAACACAAAATAAGGCTCGGTTAAACAGAGATATATAACTTGTCCTTTTATAGAATCAATACTGTGAATATAATAATTCTCCTAATCTACACATTTTAAAAAACTTCAATTGAATTTTAAAAACTGACTTCCATATAGAACATAAAGCTGTAAGACTAGTCAAAAAAATTCTGAAAGGTATAGATATCAATCAGAGACTATCCAAAATATGTTGCTAAATAACTTTATTGATTAAAACAATATTATGCTAGTATAGTAAGAGATAGCCCAATAAAATTTTTAAAAGAAGGTTGGGGTGTAACTCAGTGGTTGATTTCTACCTACCATGTGTGAAGCTCTGAGTTCAATCTTCAGCACCGCAAAAAAAAAAAAATTAAAAATTTTTTTAAAAAGGATCTAACATAGACCTAAGTACAAACAGAAATTTAGTATGTGATAAAAGTAACATGTCACATAGGTCAAAGTAGCATATTAGTAAATAGTTTTGATACCTATTTGCCCAACAACTTAGGTGAAACAGACCAACTCCCTGAAAGCTGCCAACTACCAAAATTCACTTAAGAAGAAATGGATAATTTGAAGTTCTATATGTATTTAAAAAACTATATTTGTAATTAAAATCCTTCTGAGGAAGAAAATCCTGACCCAAATGTTTCATTGGTGAATTCTAGCAAACATTTAGAGAAACATATTAATTCTATACATTCTTTTCCAGAAAATAGAAAAGGAGGAACTACTTCACCACTCATTTCATGAGGTGAGCCTCACCTCAATATCAAAGCCTTTTAAAAACACTATGTGAAAAATATATAGTAAAAATACAATGTAATTCATCACATTAAGAGACAAAGAATAACCAACAATAAAAAAAAAAAAGAGACAAAGAATAAATCAGTCTGGAAGTGGTGGTGAATGCCTGTAATCCCAGCTACTCAGAAGCTGTCTTCAATCTGATAATTGACATCTACAAAAACCTACAATTAACAAACTTCATGGTCAAAGACTAAATGCTTTGACTGGGAGCAAACCAAGATACCTAATCTCGTTACTCTTATTCAACATCATATCAGAAATCCTAGCTAGTGCAATACAGCAAGAAGAAATAAAATACATACAGATTGAAGAGGAAGAAATGAAAGTATCTCTCTTCCTAAAAAACCCCAAGAAATCTACACAAAGTATTCTACAAGAGAGATTAGTAAAACCATAGAGATGGAGGGATTGGGGTAGTAGCTCAGTTGTAGAGTGCTTGCCTCGAATGTATGAGGCACTGGATTCAATCCTCTGCACCACATAAAAATAAATAAAAAATAAAGGTATTGAGTCCATCAACAACTAAAAATATTTTTAAAAAATTATAGAGTTGTAGAACAAAACCAGTGCTTGCTGAGAAAGCTGGAGAGCATCAGATACAAAAGAGACATCATAAGGAAATCTTGGGGGATGATGTTTGAATTTGGTTGTGGTAGCAGTCACACAACTCTCTGAATTTGTCAAAATCCATGGAATTGTAACTAGAATGAGTGAAGTTTGCTATACAGAACTAGAAATTTCATTGATTAATTTTTTGAACCATTGAGAAAATTGACTAGCTCATTTCAGCAAAATAAACTCCACATATATGAAGATTTGAACATACTACATTTAATTATAAAAATGCTGTTAAGAAAAACTGGGTATTTTATATCCTTAGAATGAGGACAGTTTTTTGTTTTGTTTTGTAAGCATGACCTATAACCTGGAAACTATAAAAAAAAACAGACTCATGAACCTGATAACACAAACATTAACAATTTTCCTTGAAAAAAAAATGTTAAAAGCCAGATAACAATCTGCAGAGAAAAACACTTGCAACATGTTTGCAGAAGCACCTCTTCCTTTGAAATGGGACCCCACCTTCCACCAAGACACACTTAACGGAGAATTTCCCAAACACTGGAGAGAGATACCAATGTCAAATGTCCAGCCTACATATCTGAAAAGAAAACTGCAGAACTATACACCTATGGACAAATCTATCCATTTACATAATAGAACACAGAACAAGACAGTTTTCTGGCAGTGAGCAAGGAATGGGGAAGACATTCTGGTTTTACTGGGGTGGGCGGCTACAGTCTGTGAGGAATGACGGGGAGAACGGTTTTTGAGATGTTTGCAGCACGTTTATGGTCCACTCCAGATAAATGCTGTCACTTCCCCTGCGTGCCCATCTTGTTTAGTACGTAAGCGTCAGGCCTGGTGATAAGCACTCCACCCTGCGTGTTCTCATCTGACTCCCACGGGGAAAAAGGCCAAAGAAAAACAAAACCTTTCCGTTTGCTATATTACCATTTCGACTTTAGGGATAGGAAACTGGGGTTCAGAAAGGTAAAATGACATGCCTAACTAGCTACGGGGTCAGAGGCCAGGTCAGTGTGACAGCTCCTCTGAACAAGCATCTTGCTAGCGCCCCTCTGCAGGCCCTCTGAGGCCGGGAGAGAGCGCCCCGCGCCGGGCCCATGCCGGCCGACCTCGCTTCCCTGCGAAAGTTACCACCACAGCTATGAGGCCGCCGCACCCTTCGTCCCTCCTCCCCGGGGGCCGGGGTCGGGGATGTGAGGTCGACGGTACCCCTGGCGCGCCTCCGTCTTGTCCGCGCCTCACTCACCGCGGGCGTCGCGCCGGGTGTGGCTGGTGGCACTTAGGGACCTGCTGGCCTCGACTGTTGGCCCCGCGCCGCCGCCTTCCACGCTCGGGATCTGCCCCCCGCCCCGCGACCTGGGACCCACGTCCCCTCCCGCCCGAGGAGACCCCATTGACCCCTGCCCCGGGACCCTCCTGCCTGAGGAGACCCCACTCGATCCTCGGTGACAAGAAGGGCCGGAGGCCACATAGGAAAGGGAACTGAGAAAACGGCCGTGATTACTTCAACCGCGTGTAAAGCGCTTCTGGTTGGGTCGGCGGCCCTACACGTCCTAGCGGAGCCGGGCACTCAGAAGTCCGGTCGCACGCCCCCTGCTGGGCACTGCGCAGACTCAGGAGGTGGCCTGAGGCGAGCCGCATAGCCGCAGGGGTAGCCCACTGCGCATGCGCGAAATCGCGCGCCCCCTGCCGGTCGTAGGCGCCATGGCCGGGCCACCACACAGGCGCGGAATTCTGAGGGCGCACGCGCAATACGGCGCGCCCCCTGTCGGACGTGAACTACCGGTCGGGACACTGCGCAGACGCGCTATCTGGAGGGCTGAGGCGGCGGGGGCGGACTCCGCACCTGCAGGGTTGGCCCCCTGCGCACGCGCGAGCCAGCGCGCCCCCTGCTGGAGCTTGAGCGGCCCGGTGCGTTGGTCAGCAGTAGCCGATCACAGGCGCCCCCTCCCCGCAGGGCAGCCTCGCGGCTGTCACCGCGGCTACCGCTGCTCCTGCGAGGCTGGAGCGGAACTGCGAGGCCGAGGGAGGGGACCCTGCGAAAGGGCCGCGCGC